GATGACTAGAACAGAACTGTCCTGCACACTTCTGAACTCTCTGAATCCCATTAGTAAGAGGGGGAAGCTACCAACTTTGTCTGAACTTACAAACTGCAAAAATAGTTTGGTGAACAGCATGCTGAGGCCCTCAGATTTCAGATTCTTTAAGTCAATCAGCACTCCACAACTAATAATATTTAGATCTTTAAGATTTCTAAGAAAACCTGCAAACCTTATTCGCATGTGTAAGAGTACACGATTAGTCTTTATCATGTAAATACTACCACTGAAGTAACGGGAACTACCAAGAGCTGATTAAAATTGACACCTAAAAGCCAAATGACTATTTCTAAATACCATCTCTTTTAAACACGTTTTACAAACAGTGAAGACAGTGAAGCAATGCCTGCAGCAGCATACTACATTACATTCATTCAGGTTTTTTTCCTGATGGGACCATCTAGATGTTTGGCTTTACAAAAGCCACAGAAAGTGAGTTGTCAGACTGAAACCAAGAACCCAGAGGCCACAGCTGCTAAATTCTGGAGAAGGGTGAAAGGAAGACTCCTTCCTTAGCATGGAAGGGTATTAGCAATAATGAGGCACTGAAAGCTTTATCTTCTGTGAGGAATTAATCTCTATCCAAAGGCCACAAAATAACCTTGTATTTCATCCATTCATCTCAAATGCTGAAGAACTGTTTCCTCAAGAACTCCAAGACTTAGGAAGTTGCACTGAATAATGATGGGACCTAAGTTACCTTTATTCCACCTGAACCTGCACAGACAAATTACTCTGAGATAAAATATCATCTTAAATAACATCTAAAATTACACAGGTATTGCAATTTTAACTCTCAGACAGCAATACTTCCTGTCTTCAGTAAACATCGGTGTGGGTCCATTTCAAAAATCATGAATCTGTCCTTAAAAAGTAACTATTAAATACAGGAGTTATACTGCATTAATAAGCTCTTTGTTGCTGTAACTAAAACCATGTTACTTATTCTTAGTAACTAAGTTATAAGATCACTGCTCCAGAACATGACAATATTTTAGAAGATAAATTTTCTTTCTTTCTCCTTCCACGTTACTGATAAAATGAAATAGTGCCACAAGCAAAGGCTATTATTATTCAAATGTTTCATACATCCAATATATCCAATATCAATTCTTATTTTTCAGCTGGTAATAATCCTTCAATCCTGAGATCCAATATATTAATTTATTTCAAGTGTATTGTTTGGTTTTTTGCAAGCTTGCAGGTTCTGAACCCACAAAGTGCACCACAAAAAGAACTCTGACAGAAATAATAACATGTTAAGACTGAAAACACACTGAAAATCAACCTGCATGCTTTATTATAAACACAGGGAAAGATACAGAAACTATAAATAGAATCAATTTTTGAAACATTAATTTCAAAAAAGTCAAGTACTGAAAAATGGTTTTGAAAAAGATGAAAAACAGCTAGAAGAAAAAAACATTTTTATCAAGTTCGAGAATTCTACAAATTACTCCAGTAGTGGAAACCTACCAAATAAAGGCAAAGTGTCCACAGAGCAGAGGAGATAAGGCAAGAAATGTGGAAGAGGACAGAACTGTCTACTGAAACCCAGAACTGAAGCAAATTATCTTGCATTGGTTTGTATAGTCTGGAAGCTCCTACAACCACTGCCCTAAACAAAAGCTTAGCCGTAGTTCCATGAGATACAGAAAACAATACAACATTCAACCCATCTAATACCACTTCGGTATGTGCTTGCATAAAACATCAATGTATTATTTGGACAAGATCATAATTACATTGAAAAGAGGAGAAAGCAGTTAAATATCCCTATATTGAGGAGTATGTTGCAGGAAAGTTTCATAAAACCACCTCCGTGCTCCAGCCTTTCCAACCACCAAAGGGAAAGAAACAGTTTTCCCACACATTTCCCGGTTTCAAAGGCAGTGCCATGATAAAACCCTGAAGGATCATTCAGGTAACTAAGAAAGTCTATGGCTTACATGCTTTGTTGTAAAAAGCTCCAATACGCAACGTGACAAACATGGACAAACAAGGCTACGGCAATCCCTATGCAGTAACATGGAGAGTGGGTTAAATTATTCCTTAGAGCTCAGGATTTACATGTCTCACAAAGTAAATATTCTACTATCAGGTGAGGACTGCATAGCAAGATACTTTCAGACATCATATAAATACTTTGATATGTTTCATAATACACGGTGAATACAGAATCTAAAACGGTGCATTAGGCAACTACAAAATAAATATAAATTTCCTTCATACCTATCAATCATCTGGCTTTGTGACAATAAAATTAGCAGGTTTACAGTCATCAGCAGTCAATATCACTTTCTGAGTACCATGAACTAGAACAGGACTGATGTCCTGGCTTTCCCAGCACTGCAATATTTAACTTTTTAGAAATCTTCTTCTCCTAGCATTGTTTTTTAAAACATCAAATATGATTTCATACTAATTTTTCAAACTTGTTTTAATTTTTTACTAAAGAAGTACTTGCAATGAAAGCATTCTTTACAAACTGAAAGTGAGGCACACTGTGATTTTGATCTAGACACACCTTTCCTGTATTCTTGGGCCCAAACCATTTGACAGAAAAACAGAGCTATGTTAGCTTGACCAGTGTTTGGAAATTACGTCCATTCAAGGATGCATTTTGACCAGGCTTCCGCAGCTTCCGCAGAATTCTTCCCCTCCCTTCAACAGAATGCAAATTGAGCTCTGTGTTTAAAACTATTAGCATCTGGGAAAAAAAAATCCTAAAGCGAAATTCTCAGTGATTAAGACTTACATCGTCAAGCTACAAAACTGCAGTTATAAATGTGAAAAAATAAAAATAGAAAGCTTTCGAAGTTACTGCTAACACAAAAGAAAAATTTTTTTTTCTGAAAATTAAAAAAACAAAAACTTACAGTTCTGTAGTTTACATTCCCTGATAATTTTGCAATTATTCATCAGAATATGCAAGATTTCTACTGAAACTTTTGCACCAGAATTTCATAGATAAGTTTGACTATAAAGGTATGATTATCCAAAGTCTAACATAAAGGCAGTATATTGTTAATATTTATGTCTTTAAAATATCATATAGTAGAATTAATATTTCTATTAGTTGCAGACAATTTGATAACATCTCTTTCAACTATAGTTATAATTATCATGTACAAACTTCCAAAGCAGAAGTTGTCAAGATTTAATATCAGCATTAATTTATGTCAGGCATCCATTTCTCCGAAGACAGCAAGAATCGACAAGAAAGTATCATCTTAATTGCCACTAATCTGCCCATTTTTAATTAAATTGATCAGTAATTTATTACCTTAGCCAGTGGCAGAAAGATGTTAGCATGCCACTAGTCCTTCTAATTTCTAATATTATCATATACTAGTCCTTCTAGTCCATAGTTCAAAAATTATTGAAATAATTTCTTTTAATTCCTATACTGCATGATAGGCACATTCCATTTAAAATCTCTGTGAAGCACTTTAGAGTATAATCATAGAATCACAGAATCATTTATGTTGGAAAAGACTTTTAAGGTCATTGAGTCCAACCATAAACCTAGCACTGCCAACCAAGTCCACCACTAAACCGTGTCCCTAAGCACCACATCTACAGGTCTTTTAAATACCTCCAGGGATGGACTTAACCACTTCCCTGCGCAGCTTGTTCCAGTGCTTGACAACCCTTTCAGTGAAGAAATTTTTCCTAGTATCCAATCTAAACCTCCCCTGGCACAACGAGGCCGCACAGCCTACATGCACTGCTCTCCTGTTCCAAAGTCTCATACTCCAACACAGGTGTATGATCTTGATTTTACTTTAGAGGAACATTATTTCCCTGCCAAAAATGTTTAGAAGATGTAACATTCGACTCCAACATGGTTCAGGAAGCGCTCTGCACTCAAACCATATTCTTAAGTCTTATCTGGAAGTTAATTTCTTTTAAACTGAACAAAGAATAAGCCTGAAGCTTTTAGGTTCATGAATCTCGATTGTCATTTCAATGGAGGAAAGGCGGCCAGAAAATGTTCAATACCTGAATTAAAGACCAGAAATATCTTTAGCTGAAGTTTCAGAAAGTAGGTTACCAATTTGAACAATAAAATTAAATGTGTATTTACTTTTTTAAAAATAGCGATTAATATGATTTTCTGAACATGGTATTGTTTCAGTAGTGTGCATTGTAGTCATCAACACAATTAACTGAAGCAGACATAGCATGTTCACTCAAACTGTGTAAAACTTCTGGAGTTAATGGGAGGTTTTCTACTTATTTAAAAAAATAAGTAGAAGTACCACATGAAACATTTTGGAAAAGAACAGAAAATAAATTTCAAGTGTTTTAGGAAATAAGTTCATTATCTCCCTTTAATTGGTTTTATAGCTAAAAAGGATTAATATATGTTATTGCTATTATGTGATATCTTATAATACAGTTACAGGGGTACTAGAATCAAAACTATCATTGTAAAATATTCTGTAATACTTTATGAATGATCTGCAACATACAAACAAATAACAGATTCTGGCTTACAGAGCATAAGTGTACACAAATGGAAATGCCTAGACATTACTTTCCATACATTGATAAATGCACAAAACCCAAAAGATCTCTCATTCCAGTAATCAAGCAATGCATTATTTCAAATATGAAACTACATAAACATTTTATTTATAGATAATTTTTACAATTATGCTTTTTGTAGTATACACCAAGTACCTGTTACAGGTATTTTTATTGAATAGGAACAAGGTTTTGGCTTGAAATGGGGATTAATAACTCTGATTTACATTGGGGAAAAAGGAATAAAGTCACACTAAATATATTTACAGTGCCAGAAAGAACAAAGGAATAGAAATAAAACTTGTAAAAGTCTTCAACTTTTTTCTCAAAGCTGTCCTTAAATACCTAAGTGGATCATTTACTTACATAAATGAGTTAGGCAATAAAATTGTCCCCAAGTATTTAATTCTTTTCATTCAGCATACCTTGACAAGTTTCAAGAGGTGGTAAAGGTCTTCAACCTCATCTTCCTGACATGTGGTATACACTCTTCCAGTATTTACACTGGTACCCTTTATGAAACCACGATAGAGTGGCAAATCCAGTGCATCAGCATACAGTTCAATGGCATGGTGTCCTACTGTCTGATACATATAGCTGTCCAATTCATCAGTCTGCCCTGCCACAATTCAGAAACAATCATATTAGGTACATTATTTCAACAATTACAGATAATCATAATACTACAAAGGAAAATGAGAAAATCTAAATGTTAATAGTTTTCAGTTCACAAACAGATGTTTGGTGACAATAGCTCTATAAACATGGAAAGAAAAAAAAAATAGATTTCTCCACCCAACAGACATACGGAGAGGAAGACATCTGTCACAAACATGCTGCCTATTTGGAAACTGTGGTGTCTATTTCTTCTTTCGTATTCCTCCCTGCTTCATCCAAAAATCTCATAACGGTCCAATCCTGCTCCTATTTATATGGTAATTTAAATAGGAACACAGTTCAGAGGCACAAAACCAGATGCATTTCAAGATACTCAGAGCAAGAAATTTAGAATGCACCACAATACTGAGACTAAGCAATAGGTTGTCAACATTTCTAAAAACTTTATTGTTAAAATTGTTACCATGGTCATCAAGAAAGAAGAGGATATTATTTTAGCTTAAGTAGAGAAAAAGTAGACTGTTGCAATGTTCTGACATTGCTTAATACACAGAATCAAAAGGAAATCTGTTATAATATCCAGACCTTTTCTACCTTCCCTCCTTTTAAAAATTAAGCTCAAAATTACATCAACTCTTTGCCACTATTTCCTTAACCAGGAGAAAAATTTAACTGCATCTTCTTACAAGCAGTGTGTAGCTAACAGATAAGAAAAAAACAGCTAAAATGGGGACATCATAGACTAGAATTAAATCTCAAACTATCTGATAAACCATTCACATATATAATCTTTCAGATAATTTTTCAAACAGATTGATAAAGCAATACATCATTATTGGTGAAATCTCCACATCATTTATTAAAAGCTAACACAGTTCACTATTTCAATGCTAATTTGTAATACTGGAACTTCTCTCAATTTACACAGACACATCAAGCATCTCTGCTGTATAGCTATATAGCACATCTTGCAGAGTTAAAGGTCTGTAACATTGATCAAGATAACTAATTTGTGATGCAACAATTAGGGTATGTCACATTTGATGCCATGCAACAGACACGCTTTTGCTCAAAATGGGCAAATCCAAACCTATAATCACAATTAACCAACCTAGACCTGAAGAGTTGCTTTAAAAGAAAACTCAGTGTTTTTCAAGATACATGAGTATGACAAGGTCTTTAAACTGATATTCAGTTCAGAATACACACTTTCTTTATTAATTGAGACTCTCCAGGCAACAGCGGTACAAGATAAAATAAAATGAATGGCATAGAATCCACTGTTGCCTGAAGCATCTCAATTAACTTTCCACAAAATTTCCAACTACACACTTAAAGAGAGCATTTTATGATTTTAATGACAATATTCTACATTTCTGATGTGGATAAATTAGTTTAAAGACAACATATTTCAGCAAGATTAGAGATGATTATATCCCAGCTACCCAGAAAATAAATTGTTCCTGTACTCCCTAGCATTTGCCAGTTCCGTCTGTGACTCATTTGTGATGGCAACTCCCTTTTTCCTTCACTTTCTCTGTGTATCTCCCTACCGTACAGTTACCAGATATCATATTTAATTGTTTAACATATGTTGAACAGTTAACCTATGTTAACATGCTTTAACATTCTCCCCTACCAACTGGGAAACAACTCACTTCCTTTTCAAGTCTCACTTCAAGATCAAGTCCAACACAAAAGTTACTCAGCTCACCCCCTCACCTCACCACTGACTTAGATGACCTGAATTTCTCACATTCTCTTTCATAGAAATAAGTCTAGGTGCAGCCTGTGAGGAACTGATCAGAAAACTGGTCTAAGTTAAAAGGAAGGAAAAAGGCAGGAAAATTAAGTGCATCAAGGTCAATATCAATCTGGATCAGTTCCTCAATCCAGTTCACAAATGCTGGGCTAGAATAATGGAGGAAGATACACAAGGTTAAAAAGAAACAAACAGCAGTAAAACTGTATTTTTGGCAGCTGGAATGGTTTACGCCAGTTTAAAGCATTTCTAGAAATACAGTGTTTGTTTTGCTTGATGATATCCTCTACCACCTTTTACTATTTGTGCTACTGAACTCACACAATCCCTTTGCTTACCACCAGGAATACCCTTATTTTCCTTTTTTCAAATTGTGTAAGCCTTTCTTTTACTGATCATCTTCGTCTTGTGTATTTTTCCCCTTTGAGGAAAAATACATTTAATATGTGTCCATATCATTTTCTTTTTTCTACCTCTCTTAAGATTTCTACATTGCCCTTCAACATGCAAAACTATATACAAACACATAAAGGAACTTAATTCAGGCACAGCTGTGCCTCTATTGTTTCTAATTTAAAAAAAAAAAATAGAAAAAAGAAAAATCTCCTATAAGAAATGCAGCTTTCATACCTGTGTTTTCGGCAGGTCTTAAATTGGCTAGAGCAACAATCTGATGCCCAGCAGCAACACATTGCATCATATTATAACAGCTGTCCTTCCCACCACTGTTAAGAAAAAGAAAATAGTGGCAATTAAAAGTACTGTTAAGAGTTTTACCCCTTATGACTTTTGCCTAACTACTTAAAAATTAATATAATCAGAGCTGGTTAGAAAGTTTTGAAATAAAAAAAAGGCTGCAAAATATTAGCAGTAGGAAAAGGATGATTTCACCATCCAACATTTACTATATATGTGTAGTGCCTACATACGGTATCCATAAAGCACGTATCCAGTTCTGTATCTTACTACTAATCTGAGAGGCTCCATCAAGAAAAGCCACTTACACTGGAATCCCTTCAGAACAAGGACTGTCTTCTACTGCAAAGATTAATTACTCTGTACTTATTACTAGATAACTTGGATTAAAAACCACACTACCTGCTCCGGAGAGTTGCCAGCATTAGCAATCTTTTTAAATAAAGACTGTCATGTTAGGAATAACATTTCTCCTGCATGGGATACTTTGCCTAAAGTTGCAACATTTTAAACACACTTCCTGTTCTTAAAAGCCGTAATTATTACAGGCAGTACGTTCAGTTGACACTGCATTGAACATACAAATTTTTTACTGCATATAACTGCAAATGAAAATAATTACTACTGATTAAAAAAATAGAAAAACAAACGGACCAATATGCTTCTCTGAGGCCAAAAAATGCTACTCTAACACAGAGAATACAATTAATTTTGGCATTCATTCAAGACCTACTGGAACCTTTTCCACTATCAGTGAGGAAAGAATCCTGCTCTCCTGGTGTAGCTGAAATACAGTATTTTTCATGCATTATAATCACTATCAAAAGAAATATTACCGTCTAAAAACAAAACTAAGAGTGCTCTAGAATACACTCTGTTTACAAAATCCACGTTCAGACTCACGGCCCTCAAACTACAACTGCAGGTGGAGATTCTGTGCAGCTTCTTTAAATGCCAAGGCACAAAAACCAGTCTGGGGAAGACACTGGAAGAGAGATCTAGACCAGCTCTCTAAAACTGTGTCTTGCTTTGGAGTCACTGAGACATGGATAGGGGAACAGATAGTACAAGCAGTCCTTGCTACAACAGACTGCTAGTTTCCTGTGACCACTCTATTACTGACAAACTTCAGCATTTCCAACTTAAAGTTCCCATTTTTATCTACCCTCTATGCAAGAACTTCAAAGTATATTACTGGACTGTAACCACACAGCTATTCCCCTCAATTTCTGCTTTTATCCATGCTAAAATTCTGTATGCTGACCTTAATTTGCCATATAACTGAAACGTAAAGTAGAAATAGTATAAATAACATGGCATCCTTTCATACTTAACAGATTTTTGTAAAGCAGTTACGTATGTTTCAGTGCTATAAAAGTCATTATAATACGATAATAAATAGATTCCTTTTTGATTTGAGGATCCATCTCTACCTAACATTATTCTCATGCATACCTACAACTTTCTTCTAACCTATATGTGGACAAAAAAATTATTTAAAAAATCATATATTCATTAATTCTGGATACTGTGCTTGATAACTTGAAAATGTAGTATTCACTTCATAATGTGAAATTCCAGGCTTAAGAGAATCATAATGATACAAAGGCTCTTTTCTTTCTGAATGACTTCATTCTAAAAAACAAAAGCCTCTCACTAGTTCTGATTTCAACTCCAAATACAACTTCAGAAAAATAATGACAGTAGATAATCGCCTATGCTGTTTACAGCATTTCAGTATTAATTTTTAAAGTCAAAAATTAAAAGGACACTAGAATAAATCTATTAATCTTTTCAACTAATTTATCAACAACAAAGACAGACATGTCAAGATGAGTCTACATGCAGAGTTCCCACATTTGACCACCAATTACTTGATTGAAATCTCCCCAGTGCCCACTGGATCACATGCTATTGTACTGTTATTTATTTGCTATATATTACTGTTACCATGGCCCTAAAAACTAACCATACCAAGAAACAAAATGGTGCCTACCTACAAGGCCTTCTAATCTAGCTGTTAAACACGTGATAGTTAAGACCAATGATGCCAGGCAGCCCATGCTGTGGGAAGAAGGTGGACTTAGCACAGTCCCAGCCTGGCTGTTGTCTAGTAGATTGTAACAAAAAAAAAAAAAAAAAAAAAAAAAAAACTTAAAAAAAAACAACAAGAAGAAAAAAAAAAAAAAAAAAAAAAGCTTACAAACAAAATACCAGAAGGAAAAAAAATATGGTAACCATAAAGATATGGGTCCATAAAAGACTTCTGAGCAAAATTCCTTTCTATTGACAAGTGTAACCATTTACAGCAAGAAAATTCTAGAAGAATTAGAGTTGAAAAACATCGTATTTCAGGTAGAAGACTGGCTTTAAAATGTCTATGATTTAGCACAAAACACAATACAGGGTTTACCCCATAAATACCACCTTAAAGCAAGACTATCAACTTTAAGTGTGGCCAACATTTCAGAAGAAAAAGAAACAGGTTAAAGTAGTTTTTTATATAACGCTGACCTTTTCAAAAGTAAGAAGCACTTTTCAAATACTTTTTTCCCCTCTGATCTTTGAGGCTAGCTCTGTTACAAAGATTTCAGACACTTTGATGTCTCTTTAAAACTCTTCTTAAAACTATTACTGAAACTAAATCCATCCTTGTAAAATTGCCCATTAAAATAGCAGTTGTGTCAGAAACCTGGTTTTAGGATTTTATTTCATCCTGCCTTTTAACACATTCCTCTGCTTAGAGAATATCAAAATAAATAAACCTGGAAGACAAAATCTTATCTACAAAACAAGAAAAAGCACCGAGGCTGATTTTCCTACTCTGTATTTAAGCAAATCTTGAAAAACGTAGGTAACATTTGCTATACTTTTTCCTCTTTGGATTATGTTTGGAATGATTTGCAATTGTTGTGGCCAAACCCCAGTTTCAACAAGGTTTGATATTAGATATTGCCTGACAACATTTAATGTATTAAATTTTAAGACTTCAGTAAATAAATTACTGCACCCCAAAATGAAAATATACTGCTCACATCCGCATGATCCTTTTCTATTTACAGATTTCCTAGCGTGTTGGGTTTTAATTAACTATTATTTCTCAAGAAAAGAACACACCTGTCCCTGTTAGAAAATGTTAATCTCTTTCTAAAAAGAATACAAAAAGGCATTTACAGTAAAAGAACTGCAGAAAGCGACAAAAAGCGGCAGGAGTAGGGGGGGACACACAAATACAGCAGCCCCTGACAGGCAGGGCAGTGTCCAATTGCAACTATTTAATGAGTGAGCTTCACCTTTTTAACAATGAGCAAAATGAAATCTCTCTCAAAAGACACGCTAGAAAAATCTCTCGTTAAGAGTTCAGAGAATTTATCCTAAGAGAGCTTAAGACACTTGGAAAGGAGAAGCACCTGGAAATTCAAGTGCAGATGAGCAGAACCCCCTCTGACCGAAGGGCATGCGGCAGAGGCTCCGCACCCCCGGGCACGCAGTTGCGCCCCAACGTTGCCTTCTTCCCCCCCGCCCCCAAACACGCCG